AACTACTGATCATGCAGTCAGAGCCAAGTGGTTAAGGCAATGGACTAATCCCTCACACAGGTTCAAATCCTGCTAACTATGGTGTCTTTCCTTTGGAAAAGTAATCTACTAACACCTTACCAGACTTTGGTATTGCTTTTACTAACACCTTACCAGACTTTGATATTGCCTTTACTAACACCTTACCAGGCTTTGGTATTACCTCTCAGAAAGAAGAGTCATTGTTCCCCAACCTGAATAAACATTCCCTCTTTATGAACTTATGTAAAAAAACAAACTTTGATTGCTCCTAAAAAGTTACTGGTTTTCTGCCTATGGAGAGGAACCATATGCAATTTGTGTGCAGAAAGTAAAAGATGCGTGCCTGGCTTTCAACTGACAGAAGATAAAATCCAACAACTAGATGCAAAAAAAGAAAAAAAGAAAAAAAATCAATAAACAGAAATAATGTTCAGAAAAAACATGAAGTTTTTAAAGAGAAAGTTTTAAAAGAACTTGTTCACAGAGGTAATCATTGAAGCAACTTATAAATTTATATCAAATTGGTCATTTGATTTTTATCCTATAATTTGATCACTGAAAATAAAAATAACGCTTTTGGAATGTAAAAACAAAATATTCCCATTATCTGTGATGTTCCTTCAAAAAGAAAAAAAAGGATCTGTTCATTAGTTTGCATTAAAAAATCTGAAATAATATACTTTCAACAACTTACAAAAGCTAGCAGATTTAAGACACATTTTAAAAACTATTTTTAAAATATGCATGACTTTGTACAATACAGATAAAAGGGGTTTTAAGCAAGCTATTCTTTATTTAGACTGGGATTTGGCCTTTTGAACATGAGGACAAGAGAAGCATAAGGAAGGACGAGGGTTTTCAACCTTGCTGCCAAGTAATACCCACCTGTGTGCATCCATTCTTGCCTCCTCCACGTCATTTTCCATAAAGTAGAAGAATCATTTTTAAAAGGCAATTCTGATCATGTGATTTAAATCCCTCCAACTGCTTCCCACTGTTCTCAGGATAAAGAGTAAAATTCTCAACCTACACAGGGACCTCCCAGGCTCAGTAAGATCCAGATCCCCACCTACTTCTCCTAGCTACTTTCTTCATCATTAAGCCAAGTCTGTATTGTTTCTTCAAAACCCTTTACTCTTTTCACTTGCAAGTCTCTGTGCATGTCATTTTCTTTACTGAGGCTATTCTCTCATCACAATTTAACCCCTTCCATCAGTCTCAGTACCTCCTTGGTGAAATCTTCCTGACCCCTTCAGGTTTACAACTATGGCTTCTTACTACACTGTTCTATACTTCATGATGCAGTTGTTTACCTGTCTTTATGGACAGCAAGCTCCAAAAGGGGGCAGGGGCAATTTACTCCTTTTAACCTTAGGATTTATTAATAAATTATTTAGGGGGCTGGAGGTGTGATGCAGAGATAGAGTGCTTGCCCAGCCTGCATGAGGCATTGGGTTCAACCCCCAGCAGCACAAAAACTAATTCCGTACATATTATGTGCCAGACATTACTATAATCTGGATTAATATTAATGAATCAAATAGACAAAAATCACCTACACCTCATAGTTTATAATAGAAAACCAAACAAAAACAATGCCAGACACAAGTACTTTATATGGCATGCTATCACATCACTAAGTATTATAAAGTAAAATAAAGAAGTAGAATAAGGAGAGCCCAGGGCAGGATATTCCATAATAAACATAACAATATTAAGGGGACTACTGAGGAAACAGAGTTAAAGAGACAACAGCATCCAAGTGCTAGTACTCTGGGTGGCTTTAAATAGAACACCACTGTATATTTAAAATACATTTCAATATTATACTTGCTTTAACTTTGGCTGTTTTAATTTTAATGAAAATAAAAGTGGCAAGAAATTGTTATGACTGTCAAAAGAGAAACATTAAGATCTAGACAGAAGTCCCAGAGTTAATTACTGCACTTAAGCTACTTTACGCACTAAATGTAACTAAGAAAAGTCAGCTAAAATTCTGTAAATATAATTTTTACACACTTTCAGAAACCTTCTAATATATTCTTTTCAAGTACAGACTCACATGTATGTAGAAATGTATGCAAATACATGATCAGCAAAATGGAGGTACAGTGTAGTAAATACAGTGTAGTAAGATGTCTTTTGGCATACTTTTATCCCTCTAGTTGAACTAATTTTAATGAACACCTAAGCAGGCACATACAGCTCATGGTTTTCATGTGGCCCTAGACGGCTACTAATGTAGTCACACACGATTATAAACCTAAAACATTATTATGTAATTTTTTAGTAATATTTTTGACTGGACTGCCCAGTACTCAAGAATTGTCTGTGTAGATGCCAACAAAACTGTGTAGCGCAAGGCACAGTCCAATACTAACTCTACCTGCCACATGGTTCAAAGAAAGCCAGTGTATATTACACACTATTCACCTGGTGGGACTGAACAAGTAAAGCACAGCAATTACTGGTAATGGTAATTTTTTCTTTTTTTTTTTTTTTTTTTTTTGGTTTTTCTCCGGTACCGGGAACCGAACTCATGACCTTGCGCTTGCCAGGCAGGCTCTTTGCCGCTGAGCTAAATCCCCAGCCCCTGGTAATGGTAATTTCAATCTACCTACGAAGTGTGCACCTATGAAGATCTGATTATTGATAGTAAGCAGACATGTAAGTTCTATTATTTATATTTTGCTTCAATTATTACAATAAAAATATTTAAAAATAAAAAGTTTGTGGATTATGTACATGAACTAAATTATGTATTTTACATGTGGCCCGAGACAGTTCCTCTTCTTCAATGCAGCCCAGGCAAGTCAAAAGGTTGGATACCAACACCTAAAGTATATCAAGCACTAAACTTGTCAAAATGATTATATGCATAAAAGAAGGATCTTGCCCCCAAGATTACAGTATGTGGTAAATAAGACAAAGGTACATTTAGGCTACTATGGAAATAAAGAAACATTCAAGTTAACTTCAGAAATTAAGGGAATGATTCCTGAGAAATTCCTGAAATATCTTAAGGGTGGGTTAAGGAACTAAATAAAAATTTTTGGAAGTTCAAAAATGGGAATATTCAACTTCAGGCAAAAACAAACAAAAGCAAAGGCAATAATATTTGTAATGCTATACTGGGGGGTCAGGGTAGGGGTGGGGATAGCAATTTAGAGGAAAGGGAGGCAGTGGCCCAACCTGAAAGGTAGGGAAGGGAAATGAAGGAAGATGCAAAGCTGGCATGGTCACACAGGAAGAAATATGTTATGCTTAGGAACCTGGGACAGTCCTGATGAGAGCCAAGGGAGGATGTGCCCTAACAGCAATCTCTGGCTATAATATAACTGAAACGATTCATGCAAATAAGAGTATTTTATTTTGATCAGCAAAAAATTACTACCCTAATGTATCAGTTTTTAGCCTAAACTTAAGCTCATCAGACTTAAAAAAGAATATTTTCATTGAAGACTAAGTCTCATATTAATGAGCATTAAACTCTCCCTAAAATTTAAGATATAGTACATGCTTTCAAATTCATGTTAAGTATGAAATATTTTCAAGATTACAATGTACCTCTATGGCCCATATCTCACAAGCTAGCAGGAAATACAGAACAAGACTAGGAAAAAAGATGTAAATTCAGCAGCAACATTCAACTGCAAATCCCTCATGATTAAAACAGGAGTCAGGACAGCTTCAACTGAAAAATGGTGAAAAGACAATATATAAAGGCACTGAGGGACATAAGGTAAGAGCCAGTTGAGGTGAGGAAGGGAACAGAAGCAAATACAGATAGCTAAGTTAGTAATTTTCCCTATTCCTATTGAAGACATTTACATACAAGAAAAATAAAGCATTAGACTCTGGGAGTAATGGTTTCCTACTTTTTCAATTCTATGTCCTAGTAAGAAAATTCATTTTGTAATCAAGATCTAAAATAATTTCTGAAATACAGCAGCTCCAAAAATACTGACAAATGTAATAATTAAGAGAAAGTTTAGCTGGACGTGGTGGCACACATCTGTAATTCCAGCACTTTGAGAAGTTGATGTAGGAGGAAAGTCCAGCCTAGGCAATTTAGTGAGACCCACAAAAAATGGCTGGGGATGTAGCTCAGTTCAGCCCCACAATTGGGGAAAGGGGGCTTTTAGAAATTTCTCAGGTCTGGTGAGTTTAACCTCTCAGACATGATGCCTCATTCAATATGTTCTCTAAAATTAACTCACAGAAAAAGAACTCTTCTCATGAAGAAAGTCCCTCTCACCCTAAAAAGGTAAGCAAACCCCTACAACAGTTTCTAACACTGTATTTTCTCCAAATACAATTTCACCATTCATGTTTCCTTCTATACATCAGAAAAAGGTTTGATGGATTCATAAAAGAAATTACAAAAATATGCATATTCTTTTAATATGCACACTTTCATTTATTGACTTGAAAAGAATATCCTTAAATCTGAGGAAATCTGCAAGGGTGTAGCATGTTATAAAAGCATAATTAAAAAGTGCTTTTAACTCTAGGGTAAGAACAAATGGAATTTAAGGTAACATACCTACACAGCATTTTTCCAACCTCAAGAGAACATTACAAAGCTAAAACTGTATTAAAACTGGAAGGCCCAGATTACAATCACAGTTCCTAATTTGATGGAAAGTATAAATGCCAATATGATTTTAACAGTGAAAGTTTTTCAGCCATTTCTAAATTGGTAAACAGAACTGACCAAAAGTCTATTAATATAAGAATGCGTAAATACTGTTGCAAATCTATGCCAAAGTAGTTGCAGCTACTTCAAAGGACCATTTATTGTAACTGTAACTCAAATCGTATTAACTTCAAAATACAAGATGAAATTTACTTTTAACCAATAGCAGTTTCAAATGGAAGTATACAATTTGATGCTCCCATTTGTACTTACTACTGTATTTTAGAAATGCTTTAGGATATGTGAGGATTGCTTTCAGAAAAAAAGTTACTAGCCAATCATGGCGACTCAGGCCTGTAATCCCACCACTCTCGGAGACAAAATGATTACAAGTATGAGCCCAGCCCAGACAACCTAGGGACTTAGGAAGACCCTGCCTCAAAGTAAAAAGGAGCAGGGGTACCTCAGTGCAAAGGCTCAGGGTTCAACTTCCAGTACCAAAGAAAGAAACAGAGACAGAGAAAACAAGTGACTGGGCCTGGGGATTTAGCTCAGCGGCAAAGTGCCTGCCTGGCAAGCACAAGGTCGTGAGTTCGGTTCCCGGTACCGGAGAAAAACTAAAAAAAAAAAAAAAGAGAAAACAAGTGACTAAGTAAAATATGTCTCCACTGAGTTTATATGTCAAATTTTGCACATATTTATGGAAATCATACAAAATTCAATAAATTCTCTAAGTCTCATTTTTAAAAAAGGGCAACCCTCCAAAACATTAAAATTTCTTCCTGAATTTGCTGCTCAGCTACTGTTCTAGAGAACAGGGTAAAACAAATGCAAGGAAACTTCTACACTTGTCATCTGTTTTCTCTCTGGCTCCTACTTAAATGTAGAGTACAGTAACTCTTTTCTTCAAATTTATTTTTCCTCAGAACCTTCCTTCTCTGCCTAGATAGATGTGATCTACGGGGAAAAAAATCTCTGCTATAGGTTGAAGTGGACAGCTACAAAACTATATTAAAAATAGGAATTAAAAAAATAAGAATTCAATAATAAAAATAGCAAAAAAAAAAAAAAAACCCCAACCAATATCTACATGTTTGTATTACAACAGTCTCATAAGATTATTATTATGAGCCCTCTTTTACAGATGAGAAACTAAAGCACCAAGAGCACAATTTCCAATGAGTTCAAGAAGTCAGGCTATTTTCATTCATGTAAATGGTAACTAAAATCATATTAACACTTCAAAATACAAGATGAAATTTACTTCTAACCAATAGCAGTTTCAAACGGAAGTATACAAAGCAAATTTATGGTTGAATAAACTTGTTAATTTGATGTCTTTGAGAAAGTATTTCACTTTAGCAACTCAAGCAAAGCTCCATAAGTTATTTCTTGCACAGTTTGTAAACCATTTCTTGGACAGCTTGACTACAAAATTGCCTTTCGGTATATTAAACACAGAGAAAAAAGCCACAACCATTTCAACTTCTGTAAACTGCCCTGACTGTAAATTAAAGGAGACAGACAGGTTAGGGAAGTATGGAAATTGCATATTATACATACTATCTGACTACCAAAAATTGAACAGAATTCTTTTCTCCCGTGTGGTCTTCCAAATCTACAACTTGGCACAAATTTCAAGGGCATTTTAAACATTGACACAGCTGAAAATAACAGAATAGCTAAATATCCCAAAAGAAAAAACCCCAAAATGAGAATTATATGTACATTTACTTAGAAGGTTCACCTTCAAGTTGATATTGCCTCTGTAAAAACATCCTCACACTTAATGTTTATACTTACAAACTCCACCGCAGAGCCGTTTACTCAGTTACCAAAAACTTCAAACTTCTAGTTTATGATTTAGGTATTTTGCAGGTAACAAGGACTCAAATGAAAGTCAAATAAGAGGTAATTTTCTCAATTTCTATCTCAGCCAAAATTCAACAAAGTTTTTCATAAAAATAAGGGAGAAAGGAAGATTATACTCAGTAAAAGCGAAGTCTAAATAACGCTTAAAGTTCCGGATGTACACCACTGTAAAGCAGATGGTTTAAAGGTTCCTACAGTCCCAGGACAAACATAAAAAATTATCATATCACGTTTAACTTCTGTTTTTAACTCCTTGAGAATCTGGCCCTGCTAGAGTGTAGCAAGTGGAAAAAGGTGGCATTCCAAACACACTTGAGCAACAGGATCCCAACTTCCTGGTTCTAAAAGAACGCGATTCCCCACTGACCCAACCCTCCCCTATCAGCCGCGCGGCCCCGCACCGGAGGGACCAAGGGGGCGAGGCCTGGAGCCGCACTGCGGGTCCCGGCACTGGTCTGGCCTGGGGCGCTCGCGGCCTGCGACCCCAGCGCATCCTCTTCGGGCTACGCTCTCCAACCTCAGGGGCGACTCGGGACCCGCCCGACTACGCACAGCCCTACCAATCCCTGCCACGCCGGTCCAGTCCAACCGCGGCCCGCAGGTCCTTTCCGCCCAGCCCGGCCTTAGCGCTGCCCAGGCCCTGCCTAACCCCAGCCCAAGTCTCGCTGGCCCTCTCTGATCCCAGGGCTGCTCTGTCCTCCCTGACTCCAACCCCAGCCGCAACCTCCCCCAAGCCCTGCGCGGCCCCAGCCTGGCCTCGGTCTTCGCTGGCCCGGCCTGGCCCAGCCCTGCCAGCCGCGGGCCGTGTCCCTCCAGGAAGATGGCGGCTCGGTGACAAGCGGGCGCGGGTGCGGGTCCGAGCACGGGCCGGGGAAAGAAACTGATCTAACACTGGCCAAAGCAGACCCGCTCACCTGTCAGCACCGCCCGCCCCGCCCGACCGGCCGCCCGCGGGCTCCTCGCCGCAGCCCCGGTGCCCGGCGACCGCGCAACACGCGGGGACGGCCGAGGAGGGAGACGGCAGGAAGAGGCGGCGCGGCCGGGCCGGGCCGGAGACAGGTAAGAAGGGCGGACGTAGGCTGGTGGCGGCGACGGTGGATTCTTCCCTTTTCGGGAGGAATATGTCTCAATGTCCAGACCCTGGTTCCCCAACGCTCCTTCCCGTTCGCATGAGAACACACAGCTCCCACTTCCGGGGCCCAGAGGAAGTCCCGCCCTCGCTCGTCCCCGCGCGCCCCCGCGCCCTAATCCGGCGCACTTACCCGCTGGGCCAGCCGACCGGCGCTCGACGCCCGGGAGAGACTCACGTCAGGGAAACGCTGCGCAGTGATTGGATGCGCGCGGCATCTGGACCGCCCCTTCGCCTCCGGGCCTTTCGGAGCGCGCCCCTCTCGCGGCATGTGTGTTTGGCGCATGCGCTTGCTCGCACACCGCCCGCCCCGCACCGCCCTGCCCCGCACCGCCCCGCTTCGCGCACACCTCCTTTCCCCGCCCACACCGCGAACGCCGAACCCTGGGACCTCGCACGCTGTACACCCCGCCTCACGCCGGCGTAAGCCCCGCCCGCCCAGTAGTCACGCCTCGCCGTCCTGTAGCTGCTCCAGGTTGGGCCCAGTAAGGTAGTTCTCCGTTGGGTCCCTAAGGGACTTGTTGGGCGTCTGTCACCGACTGCAACTCTTACAGATAGCTGCGGGGACCGGCGATATCCTCGTGATGGCAACTTTTGCCCCTGCCCCGCCGCCCTGGGACCTACCCCCCACTTGCTCCGTGCCACTGCCGAGAGGGCGACCCTTCCCTACCCGCCCCCCTCCCCCACCTCGGCTCAGGACAGTCGCCGGCCGAAGCTTCCTCAGACTGTGACCCTTTCCCCTGGTCTGCCCTCCGGACCTGGGCTCCTGCCCCTCCTGCGTCCCCCGGGACCGCAAGCCCTGCGGAGTTGGCGCCCCCAGCCCAAGCCCCTGCCTCAGACCCCTGAGCCTTTCGACAGTGACCTCGCCCTCGCCCTCGGGTTCCCTCTGCCGTCGCCCTTCCCCAAGGACCTGAGTCGAGACAGCGGATCTAGGCTGGGGTTACACTGGGATTTGGGGGTTCCTGTTGAAGCAGTTCGAGGTTCTCTCAGCTGCTCCGTAGCAGGGTCCGTAAAATTCTGTTTTAAGTGTGGATAATGAAGACGCAGCAGTAGCAAATTATTTTCCAACATTTTACCAATCCCTATCCTGATCAGTTTGATAGGAAGAAGATAAAAGTATTTTCCATTTTTTTTCAGCCTGCTGCCTAGTTTCCTGTATTTCCGGTCTAATTATTGCAAATTTTGTGATTTCCTTCTAGTAAAAAGTCTTTTCTGAGTCTCTGTATCCACAATTATCGTGTACTTGTGCTGCTTGCTTGTTCCTGTTGGTGATATTCAAATTCTCACAATTCTGCATTTTGGGGAAACCTTTATGGAATCCCATACATTGGGTGGATAGGACTACATCGACGTTAATATTTGTGCCCTCTCCTTTGTGATACCTTGCCTCCTCCTTGCTTTCAGAAAATTTGCTACTTAAGTACGATAATTATATTCATAGGAATATTTATAATCATATGATTGAGATTTCTTCTAATATTGTAAGCCTGTGCAAAATTTCAGGACAAAGATAGCATGAAAACTCTTATGCCCCTCCCTACTAGTTTTACCTGCCTTGTTTCTCACCAGATTTAATAGCATGACTAGTCTATGTCCAGCATAAATAGTGCTAACAAACATTTCAGTTAAAAAGTCTGAAAATCTTTTCATTAAAGACCATCCCTGTTGTCTTCCTACAGAATAAAGTCCCAAGTTCTAGTTCAGATGAAGATAGCAATTCACAACCTAATTCTAGTCTGTGTGTAGCCCAATCTCCTACCTTTCCTAAACTGTGGAGGTAAAATACCCAAACTTTGAATTCATATTTGTGACTGAGCATTTCTTGAAACAGTGGGTTGTTAGGACTATAGGCTTTATATTCTGTGCTATAGGGTTCACTGAAAGGCAAATTAGCAGTTGATAGTGTGTGATAAATCCTTTAAAAAAATTTAATCACGTCCGGCTAGGATGTAGCACAGTGATAAAGCACTTGCCCAGCAGTCAGGACGTCTGGGGTTTGATACCCAGCAAGGACTAAAAAAAAGACAGGAGGAACTTGGGTTTCTGAGCACCTGAGTGTGTGACTTTCTTTTCCTCAAGTGTTCTTACCCTACTCCTACTCCTTCTGATTAAATTTTGCTTACTTTTGAAGGTACATCTCAAATATCAACTATTTAAATCTTTTATTTTTAAATGGTTCATTTCCTTCCTGGGTCTTCTCTGCACTGTGTTCATAAATGTATTAAAGCTTCATTGCATCATATAATTTTCAACTGACGTGATTGCCACTACCAAATGGTCAGTTCCCCGGGGGCACAAGCAGTTCAGTGATCTCTAACATGATGGGAGGCACATAATGAATGAAAGTCTGTTGAATGAACCAAAGACTAAATTATGAAATGATATCCTAGTTAAAGACCTGAGTTTTAGCCATATCTAAGAGCATTGTTTTATTGTCCCACATTTTCTGTGAAAAGTAAGCTTTTTTCTCCATTGTGTATGTTATTCAAAATTACCCTACCTGTAGATTAGCAACTTACTCGTGTTTCGATCGCACTGCCCCAAAATTTATTTCTAATGACTTATAACCACTCACTTGTCCATTAATTAAACCAATATTTACTAACTGCGTGCTGTGCCTTAGATACTCTGCAAAGTTCTGAGGAGAGAAGAACAACACAGAAGAGACAACAGCAGGTAAACACTAAGGAATAAAGAGGGAAAGAGTTTTGACAGAGGATATAAGCCATTTGGGAAAGGAACCAGAAAGCGATAATTAGCCCAAGGCCAGGGACAAAGGGTAACAGGGCTTCCCACCAACCCATGCAGAGGGCACTCCAGGTGGGAAGTAAGAGGCCAGTCTTGTTCAGTGAGTCAAGATTTTATTATGAGGCAAGGCAGGGCCTTTAGAAACTTTTGCTGTGGAGTATCTCCTACCACAAAAGGGACCAGAATATAAACATGGTAAGGAACTGGCGCAGTCAAATTAGGTGGAAGTATCAAATGAAAATGGCAGTAATATGTTAGAATGCTTTGAATTGAAAATATGCATGACCTTATACAGAAACTAAGAAATGTAAATAAATGGGTAAGTAAAAAAGTAATACAGATGAAGTAGGAAAAGGGAAAGCTCTTCTTTAAAGTAGAATGCAACCAAGTGTGGTGCATGCCTATAATCCCAGCACTTGGGAGGCTGAGGCAGAAGGATCACTGAGAGTGCGTGGCTAGCATGGGCTACATAAAGAGTTTGAGGTCAGCCTGAACTGAATGGCAAGACCTTGTCTCAAAAGAAAAAGTAGGATGCTGATTTGTAAATGAAGGAATAGTTTAAAAAGCTCTGTTATGTTGCAGCTATCAGAATTTATGCTGACAAGAATCACCAATGAATACTAAAAATCATTTAAAATCTATTGAGGAACAAGTTATAGTCAGCATTTACAGGCTTATTGATTATTTATGAAATTCAAAGGGACAAGAGTATTTTACAGTGGACAAATACATGGATCTCATATGTGATCAAAGTTAGCATCAATAATAATGGCCTCTTGACTGACCTCATTGACACCTATGTGACTGCCTCAGTTACGTAGTATTCCTCCCAAAATGTACAAACAAATCATGAGGAACAATAAGACAAACTCAAATTGAGAGACATTCTACAAAATAACTGGCCCATACTCTATTTTTTTTTTTTTGGTACTGGGAATCAAACTCAGGACCTTGCACTTGCCAGGCAGGCACTTGTGCCACTGAGCCCATACTCTTTAAAAATGTCAAGATCATAAAAGACAATGAATAATAGAGAACATTTTTCAAATTGAAGGAAACTAAAGAGACAAGACAATTCAATGTAATGTGTAATCCTAATTTAGATCCTAGATCAGAGTAAAAAATTACTATAATGGACACTATTGGCATTTTAATATCCACTGTATATAAGTCTCATAACCAAGGATTTGGATAATTGTGTTATGGCTATGCAAGAGAATGTCTTTGACCCTACGAGACATAAGCTGGATAATATAGGGGTGAAGGTTCAAGATATGTAAAAGTAGCCAGGTGTGGTGGCACATGTTTGTAATCCCACCACTCAGGAGGCTTAGGCAGGAGGATTGCTGTGAGTTTGAGGCCAGCCTGGGGTACATAGTGAGTTCAAGACCAGTCTGAACTATACATTGAGACCCTGTCTCAAAACAAAACAAAGCAAAACAAAAGATGCGTGGAAGTTTTTCTCAAATAGTTAAGTGAAATATGCATACATAAATGTGTGTGCATAGAGATAAAATTTAATTGGTAAATCCAGATATATGGTATATAAATTGTTACAAATTCTCTGAAAATTTAAAATTTTCAAAATAGCTATTTTTTAGAGATACATATGAAAGTACAGTATTAACACATGTATGTTATGTATTATATCTAGGACTTTCTCCAAAATAGAGTGGGTACAAATAGATAAGAAATAATGAGATAGGCATGGTGTGCATGCCTATAATCCCAGCACTTGGGAAGCTAAAGCAGGAGGATTGCTGCAAGTTTGAGGTCAGCCTGAGCTATATAGTGAAACCTTGTCTCAAAAAAAAAAAAGGAAAAAAGTAATGAACAAGCTGGTGTTTTGAAATCTGAAGTTGGATCGCCAGGTGTGGTGGTGCACACCTGTAATCCGAGCACTTGGGAGGCTGAGGCAGGAGGATCATTGGGAGTTCAAGGTTAGCCTGGGCTATGAAGTGAGCTCAAGGCCAGCCTGAACTGCATAGTGAGATCCTGTCTCAAAAAAAGACAAAAAAAAAACAATGCTTCTCTCAAGTTGGATATGACTGATATATGGGGGTTCAACAAACTCTTATCCCTGCTTTTGCATATTGTAAATTCCCCCATAATAAATCAAAATATGGAAAGAGATGAAAGGTTTTAGTTCATTTTAGATCGTTCATGAATATGTGCTGCTGAAAATGTCAAAGAGAAGGACTAAATTTCTTAGCATATTCCATACCTCCTCACTGGAGGACAGAAAGCCATGGCACAACCTTCAGTCTTACATCCTGGGAGCTAGTGATGGATGGATGCAGTAGTGCTGATTGTGCAAGTACCAAACCGGCGTGAGGAATGTGGAGACAAGGACAGGAGGAGGACACAAGGAAGGAGGAAGAAGGGATGAAGGAATCTCCTGCATGAGAGCCTGCAGGAAACATTTAGAATTTGCATGACATGGAATATTAAAAAGGAGCGGGTCTTATCTGAGAGTTTCTGACAAGATCAGGCACTTTCAGAGTATTATAGCCATAGATAAGAGTTCTAAGAAACATTCTCCTGAGTAACGGTAAGCCTCAGTGAGCCTCAGGAGCCTTGGTGAGCTGCACAGGAGGGGAGAATCCCTGCCCCCACCTCTCCACCTTGGTGGGAGCAATGGTGAGCATCAGGAGCCTCAATGAACTGCTCTGGAGGGGAAAAACACCCCACTGTCTCCACACCATCCAGGGAGCCTTGGTCTGGAGGAACCTTGGTGCCTGGCCTATGCTCCTACACTGTGGGTTGGGCAGCCAACGTGGAAAGTGCCCAGGACATAGCAACCAGCTTGTCTGGAGGAACCCAAGGTAAATTCACTCTAACAAGAGGAAACACTTCGCATACAAACTGAGTTGAAAATATGCATGAGCTTATGCATATTTTCTATATTTTCCATCAGTTCTATTACACAACTACAGACTTTGCTCCTATGGTCTAAAATACAAAATCAGTAGTTACCACAGTTTGTCAGTTTCTCAGTTGTGCTTCTTGCTAACTGTACTACTATAGCTGGATATCATATCTGTTGTAATCACTTGTTCTCCCTGTGTAATGATATTGCAAAGCAGTAAGGTAATAAACTCACCACAGACCTACAACAAAAGACTTAGGACTGAGCCAAACAGAAACCAACATCCCTCTTTCAATTAATTAGGAAGGAAGGATCTTGGAACAGACACAAACCAAGAATCTCTTACACGCAGAAGGTATCCCTGAAGTATAGACTATTTCTGGAGAGGCCTTGATACTAGTGATACAGTTACCTACTATGAAAACTCACAAGGGTCACCACGGAAAACAAAATAAAAAAATTTTGAAATAGAAAATGTCAAAACAAAAGAACAAAATGCAGTCTTATACCTTCAGTCCACCCAGAACAAATCCAGGAGATATCAGCATGGAACAAAATGGAAGTTAAACACCTGAAATTTCTGAAATAGTAGCAACTAAAGTAAAGAA